ATTTTTTACTTTTAATTATATAAAAAAATGAGAAATAATTTTAATTATATTAATTATTTAATTAAAATATTTTACACATTATTAATATTAAAATTAAAATTTATTTTTTAAAATGTTTATATAAATTAATAATAAAAATATAATAAATATTATTTTAATATTAAAAAAAGCAAGTAAGACAAACCTATTTAAGAATATGTTTGGTAAAATTTGTAGGTGCTTTAGTTTTTTTGATAATATTTATTATTTTTAGTTATATAAAAAAATAAAAAATAATTTTAATTATATTAATTATTTGATTAATATATTTTACACAATATTAATATTAAAAATAAATTTTATTTTTATAAATTTTTATATAAATTAATAATAAAAATATAATAAAGATTATTTTAATATTAAAAAAAAAGCAAATAAGACAAACTTATTTAAGAGCATATTTGATGAAACTGACAAGTAATTTAACTTTTTGATATTATTCATATTTTCTTAAATTAAAAATTTTCTTTTAAAAACTTATATTTTTAACCTTTTTTTTTGCCTTAAAAAAATGTTAAATAATAAAATTTGAAAAGTTTTAACTTTTTATTTTTTATAAATTTTTTTTACTTACTTCATATTTATTTTTATTATTTTTAAAAATAACTTTAAAAAATTTTTTTAAAAAAAGTTTAAATTTATAATTCATAACTAATAGTAAAAAAATTAAAAACTCTAAAAACTCCGCCAATCATCTCCAATCTCTGTACAAAGTTACAAACTAGTACTACAACTCAACAATAAAATTAAAATACACGTGGCAAAGCAGGATGTCTTCCCGCCACCATTAATTCCCTCTCTTCATTAGAAAAGGCAGTAGGTGTACAACAACTGAGGGTCAGCGACAGTGGCGTTGACTGGAAAGAAGGTTACTCGCCACCTGGCATCTTGGTCCGAAAGCGTGGATTTCACGCGCTACATTTCAATTTTGGCTGAGCCGCGAAAATTCGCGACTTTCAAAATAAAATTTTTTTGGGTTGAAAACAAAAAGCAGTAGGAGACAATCCCATATTCGATAACAATCCGAGTGGGTATATATATCCTCTTAATACTTGTAAAAAGATGAAAATACCCTCGAGGATTGGCGTCTAATTCTCATTATTTTCTTGGGGGTAGAATTATACATTCTTATAAATGTAGGGGGAGAGTTTCTTCTATTATTCTATTTTAATAGTGTTTATGGAAATCCAAGGAATAAAATTATGATTTTGGTAGTTTCTCATTGTCCAAGAGCATCTTCATTTTAAACATTGGAAAATAAAAAATATTAAATAAAAAAATTTTAATATTAAAGATGTTATTTTTTTAAAATATTGTAGATGAAACTCGAATCTTATCGTTCAAGTTAGTATAAAAAACTTATAAGGGAATAATAACGATTAAACTACAAGAATGTTCTCATTAAGGGTATTATTTTATTTAATATTAACATAATATAATTTAGTATTGTTTAAATTGTGTCATATTTTTTTATATATAAGTAGGAAAAAAGTCCAACCCTTTATTTTTTCACAATTTA